CAGTGACTTTTAGTCAGCCACCGACGATGCCTCTCCGACGGTGCTGCTTACTCCGACGGCGCACTCGATTCGGACTCTAGCGAAGTGACCGTCTCTCCGCGCTGATCCACCCGTGGCTATAAGGAGACGTAACATATTTTGCATCCATCAAAGAGTGTCTTCCTAGTCTACAAGCACAGGAGCGACACTCACGATTGACATCCGCCTGGCATGTCGAACACGTTTCCTTCGCTCAGTGGAGGCATTCCCAACAAGACTCAAGACTTTGCAGCGTCCATCGTCTTTGCGATTGCTTTTGCGGCGTGCGCTTCTGCAAACGCTTACGCTGTTCGATAGCTTTCTGAAAAGCTGACAGGCTCATACCGGCGGGGATCGCTCGGCTAGTATCGAAAGACTCTCGCAGCTTTATCCTCGTATGTTCTTTTGCGGTCGATGCTCTTCCGAGGCTAACAAGCTCACAGATTCGACCCTCTATCTTCTGCATCACGCAAGTCGCAGCCTATGGCATGCGTGCGGCCCTTGCAAACGGCAACAGCTCGACAGGCGTTTACATCGCTTCCGAGATTCTGCTCCTCGGCGTTTGTGCACACTGCTGAACGTGTACCAATACTCATCTGTAATCTCGACAGGGCTTCAGTGCGATCTGCGAACCCATTCCTGCGCTTTTGACGTCAGCTCGGCCCTTTCGGTGGTTACTCGGGTCTGACCAGATCGTGCAGACGTGTGGCGGGCAAATGTCAGAAGAGGTCCTTCCAGCATGCAGACAATAAGGTTCAACAGCACATACTGCTCTTCTGTCGCCTTGTCGTAACTCTCGCGGGCATCTTTGGCGTCATCGCCTCAACAAAGATCAGCGGTAATGAGAGTCAGAGTACAGCAAACAGCATCGAACATTACAGGATTGCCAACGCTGCACTCATCATCGGCGCCATCAGTGTCTCTGCGCTCATTGCAGTCAACCTCATCCAGGCAGGTCTTCTTCAGATCCTTGCCGTCGTCGTCATTGTGCTTCAGTGTGGCTTGCTTGTAAGCAGTAAGAGGAATAGCGCCAACGTGTTGACATTGCTGATCGTTCAGATCATCACTACATCTTACAAGCTAGGCAGCACGCTGGATCCACCCGGCAAAACCTCCCGCTCCGGCAAAATTGTCTTTTACATACTGATTGGAGTCATGGACTGGCTCATCACTCTGATATTGTCAGTGGCATGCGTTGCAGGACCCAATGGCTTNCTGACATATTGCTTACAGTTTCGCTGTCAATATCAACCAGCTNTTCCCTCTTCNANNCGCAAANACCTTNGACGCCTCGAGCGTTNAAGAGCAAGACGAGAAGATNGTCGCTGANTCGCCCAAGGGTACTCACGAGCGCCTTTCAGGTGAATGTGTATAGATTCTGGTGAGCTTGCGCAATGATACATAATCCGTCTTTGCATGCAAACTGCTCGATGCCAGCGCAAATGCTCATTGAGCAGTGAACAGAGCGTGACATCATCGAGCTCTTTGCAGACTCCATAAGGGCGAAAAGCACGACAAAAGGTCAAGCACTAACGAACTGCGAAATCTGTTAAGCGAAAGGCACCTAGGGCCTTTAAATATGTCATATAACAATTGAGCAACAAGTGAGCATCTTCATCGCAGACACAGGAACGCCCCAGGAAGTGACAGCAGTATTTGAGGAGAACAGTCAAACCTGAAGACTATCTTTTGGAAACAGTCAAATGCACAGTAAAGACATGGCGAGAGGTCATCACAAGCAGCAAGCCGTTCTCCAGCGATAAAACTCGCGGTGTCACATATCGAACACTGTGTCAGGTCATTCTTTTAGTCTTCAAAGCTAGTGGTGGCTCATTGCTTGCAATGATCTGATGGAGCATATCACTTGGACGAGCGCAGCGATGACCATCATGACCAGATTTAGCACGCATCTCAGCAGCAGAAATTGTCCACTGCTGCCGACGTCCGCTCGAGCGACTCATGCATCAGTCGTCCGCTAGATACTATTCTGGAGACTATTGCTGTATGGTACCGTCTCAAGGTACGGCTTCAGTCGTACTGCCGGCCAGGGAGGCAACATCGAGCTCTCTGACTGAGCTCGCGAGTGAGGACAGCTCAACCTGCTTCGGAGTACGAACGCATATCTGTGGATAGTCTCTCGGCGAAGACTGACTCTCCGTCTCTTTGAATCGTTGTAGTCGTTGCAGGCAGTCTTGAGGCGATCTGTCAGATCGCAACTCGTTCTGTGTGCTGATGGCGACTGGCTTCCGCACCAATGAAAGGTAGCAATGCGACCGGATGAAGACTATGAGTGGCTTCGCTAAGGTCGCCGTGGTCAATCCAATGTCCTGCTAACGCGCCTAGATAAATCACGCCAATCAGAATCACGGGTGTTTAATAATTTCCCCATGAATTACGCAATGTTGAGTTTTGGCAAAGCAAATTGAAGAAATTCCCTGGCATTTCACTGCTCGCCAATGGCAGAGCGGTGCTATCCTTCTTGATCGTCGACATCAATCATCAAGATCGATCGGCTCTCCGCTATACCTTCCTTTCGCAACTTCTCGCTCGGTCGTCCACTCCGATCATGTACCGTCGAGTAACGCATATCTTGCAAAGTCCAATTCACACGACAACCACGAGCTGCCAAAACACGCCAAGTCGCGTCGCTCATCTTCCTCCATGTCGCAAACAGCAGCTGTGGACACTGCGAGCTACTTTCACTGACTGTACGCTCAGACATGGTCAGATCATGCATCACCACGCCGATAGTCCGGAAGCGTGNGACACTAGCGAGCAATCATCTCTTACTGGCCACTAGCTACGAGGCAACACGTCAGGCTGGAGAACTGCCAGCAAGACCATATTATCTACCGCAGTGAGAACAGCAGCGATCAGAATGACACACGCTCTCGCCTGCCAGTATATGTACCACACTCATCGCACATGCACACCACATCGAGTCATCGTCGAGCAAGGCCACTCGATAGACATGAGNCACTTCTGTCATACTCGAGCTGACGATCTCAAGTCACTCAGCGGGTGTCTATCGTGCTTGCATCACATGATAGCTGTACCGTGTGGCTCGTCAGACTGCTTGAATCGTCCTCAGATGGCAACTTGGTCTATCGGCGCCCTACCAGCTTGGGCTTGTCTATCTCGGCAGTGACTCTGACCACCTCGCATTGACCGGCAGCACCAGCGATGGATTATGCACCGCTTATCAGATCTAGGCAATCGTCATTCTACTCTCAATAGCTGTCCACATGTGTTCTCGTCTTTCAATTCGACATCTCTGAGCTGCCTGTCTTGCACTGCACACTGCACATGATCAGAGTACCTTCTGACTAGACTGTGTCAAAGATGACATCAGATGCACCTACACTCCCACAGGGTTAGGGTTAGGGTTAGGGTTAGGGTTAGGGTTAGGGTTAGGGTTAGGGTTAGGGTTAGGGTTAGGGTTAGGGTTAGGGTTAGGGTTAGGGT